TTCTCTCTCATCATTGATGTTTCTATCTCTCCCTCTCCCTTCCCCCCTGAAATCAATAAAAATATATTTTTAAAAATGAAAAACAAAAACAGGGTCGGGGGTCAGGCTAGATGGGGTCAATGAGGGAGAAAGGGAACATATGTAATACTTTCAACAACATAGATTTTAAAAACATGGGGGACAGGAAGGGAGTTTGGGGAGGGAGAACTGTCAGACTATAATGCAGACCTGACAAAGTCTCTGCCAGCCTGATGGGAAGTTCCTCAGAAAAATTGCTCATTAGAGTCCCAACTTCCAAGGGAATGACTAGGCCCCTGTACCACCCACCACCTTGCTCAGTCATTGGCCTGGGGCTGGTGAAGAGCAGGACAGCTGGAGTAGCCATTTCATTCTTGAAGGAACACCTCTAAAACAGCACATCTCTGTATCTGCCAAAGGAGACTCAGTGTATCTTGTGTAGGTTCTTAAGTAGTAACTGTACTGGTCCTTAGTTTGTTGTATGGATTTTTTAAAAATATATTTTATTGATTTTTTACAGAGAGGAAGGGAGAGAGATAGAGAGTTAGAAACATCGATGAGCGAGAAACATCGATCAGTTGCCTCCCGCACATCTCCCACTGGGAGATGTGCCCGCAACCCAGGTACATGCCCTTGACCGGAATTGAACCTGGGACCCTTCAGTCCACAGGCCGACCCTCTATCCACTGAGCCAAACCGGTTTCGGCTGTTGTATGGATTTTAAAGTGGTTATTATGAAAGCTGAATTCAAGAGAATTATACACTTCCTCACCCTTCTCCATCTTTGCATTTAGTTAGTTATTTCCCTCTGGGAATCTACAGGCCATTGTTTGTGTCTATCAAAGTATTTATTACCACCATGTAAAAATGTTTACATTTTTCTCTTCCTAGACTGCACTCTTAGGGCCAGAATTGTCATATTTATTTACTTTTGTATCTACTCAACACTTGGCCTCTGAAAGAAAATAAATCCTCATAAATTAACTGAATGAATAAGCAAAGAAGCTGTCTCTCACTCCTAATAGTAATTCTCTTTATCCATCCAGTTTGAACTGGATCCACTGACTATTTCATGTATAGTGTTTGGCAAGCGCATTTATTTACACACTCATTCCAGCAGGTTAGAATTAATTCACCTTCCAAAAGGATGGCCAAATGAAGTGATTAAGAGTGAGAAATGCAACCTGGCAAGTGTGGCTTAGTTGATTGGCCATCTTCTGATGCATCTTCGCATGGTTGCTGGTTGCTAGTTCAATTTCCAGTCAAGGGCACATGCTTGGGTTGTGAACTGGATCCCTGGTCAGGGCATGTGCGGGAGGTAACCAATGGATGTTTCTCTCTCACATCTCTCTCTCTCTCTCTCTCTCTCTCTCTCTCTCTCTCTCTCTCTCTCTCTCTTTCTCTCTCTCTCTCTCTCTTTTTCTCCCCCTCCCATTCTTTTTCTCTAAAAATATCAATGAAAACCATATATGAAATGGAGGGGCTTGGAGGCTGCAATAAGAGAGACTAAAGGCTCCAGAAGAGAAAGAAATTTAAGGTGAAAAGAAAAAGAAATAAAAGCTGTCAGGTGCCCTAACCGGCTTGGCTCAGTGGATAGAGCGTCAGCCTGCAGACTCAAGGGTCCCAGGTTCAATTCCGGTCAAGGGCATGTACCTTGGTTGCAGGCACATCCCCAGTAGGGGGTGTGCAGGAGGCAGCTGATCGATGTTTCTCTCTCATCGATGTTTCTAACTCTCTATCCCTCTCCCTTCCTCTCTGTAAAAAATCAATAAAATATATTTTAAAAAAAAAAGCTCTCAGGTAAGAGAGGTCAATGAAAGAAGAAAAACCAGCACAGGTAGGAAAAAGAATGAAAAGGAGACAGAAAGAGGGCAATGGGGAGTCAGGCTCAGTGCTGACCTGCCCAAGGAAGTATCATCAGCAGTAGCCTCATTGACAGCTGTTATCATAATGAGAACTGGCATCTAAAGAGAGGGCAAGTCTAGTTTAATTAGTTAGGTGGCATCATCTATGTCCAATAGGGGTAGGGGAGGTAAAGAAAATAGAAGGATTGGTGACCCATCTCCTTCCACAAGCTGAAAGGAAAAACAGATTTATAAAACTTTGCCAGGAATTAAAGAGACAGGAGCTGTTTCTTCCCTGAATTGAGTTCACAAGATTCCTAAGTGTTCCTATTTATTAGTACCTTTTAAAGGAATCTGTACTGTTCTTGTGGGGGCAACTAGAATCAACCATCATTCTTTACCTTTTATCAAGCCAAAATAGGTTTACACACTCCCTCCCTTCTGTCTTCCAGCTTTATACCAGGAGTCCTTAATGATGTAGCAGGAAGCCAGCACCAAGTGACTTCGGGCAAATCATTTTACCAGTTCCATCTCTTTAGCACTAAGATTCAGTGATATTGTAGTCACAAAAAAACTTCTGGAGCATCTTCTTTTTAAAATTTTTTTGTTAATCCTCACCCAAGGACATTTTTTCCATTGATTTTTTAGAGTGGAAGGAAGGGAGAGAGACAGAAGCATTAATGTGAGACACATTGATTGGTTGCCTCCCCCACCTGTCCCCACCACCCCAGTGTGAGAATTGAGCCCATAATAGAAGCATGTGCTCCTGATGGAATTGAACCCGTGACCCTTCAGACTGCAGGCCAATGTGGATTATCTTCTCTTTATGAAACCAAGGTTGCAGAATTAAATATGAACCTTACCATGTTGTAAAAAAAAAAAATGTATATATATATATGTGTGTGTGTGTGTGTGTGTACACACACACACACACATGCACACATATACTAGAGGCCCAATGCATAAAATTCGTGCATGGGTAGGGTCCCTAGGCCTGGCCGGTGATCAGGGCCAATTGGGGACTTTTGGCTGCCAGCAGGGGCCTTCCTTCGTTCGTGCCGCCCCCTGGTGATCAGCGCACATCATAGGGAGCATTTGAATTCCTGGTTGAGCTCCCGAGGGGACACTTTGTATATTAGCCTATAGATATGCTCTTCATTTCATGCTTCCACCCCCAATGTACTTCCTCTGCTAAGAATCCTTCTTTAGTCTGGCTGGCATGGCTCAGTGGTTGGGCGTTGACCTGACCTATGAACCAGGTCCTGGTTCCATTCCTGGTCAGGGCACATGCCTGGGTTGCCAGCTCAATCTCCAGTGTGGGGCATGTGATTCCCAGTGTGGAGTGTGCAGAAGGCAGTGGATCAATGATTCTCTCTCATCATTGATATTTCTATTTTCTCTCCCTCTCCCTTCCCCTCTGAAATAAAAAAGAAAGAAAAGAATCCTCCTTTATCTTGTTGGTAGAAATTATTAGGGTTGAATTATTTTTTCTTTTTCTTTCTGTTTATAATATCTGACCTCAAGGATCATAAAGATTAATTCATCTTGGTTCTGCAAATTAATTGATGTCAGCCAGGATGGCCTAGAGTTCAGGAAAGACTGATAAACAGCTTCCAACCTTTAAAGAAAACAAACACCTCCACAAAATGAAACATAAAAGCCTGGTGGTAGAAGGTTTTAGGCGAAGAGAAAACCTCGACAGTGACTGCACACAGTGGGCAACTCCCCTGCAGAACCTTCTGAGAACACAAAGTTCACTTCCACAGGGAAATTACATTCACTGGAGATTGCTTTAAGACAAGGCTGCATAAATTAAATATTTTAGCACCATATGCTCAGCTTTTGGCAGGGAAGGGAATCTCAATGTTAGGAAATGCCATATCACACCCCAGCTGGCTATTTAGTCATGAAATAAGGAGAAACACACAAATATTTGGTTAAAACACCTTTAATGAAAAGGGAAAGACACTAACATCTCCCTTGTCTGCTCTTCACATTTTTCTATGTTAGGAAGCTCTGGAGCCTACATCTTCAGAGGAGAAACCATCATTCAAGTCAGTCACTAGCAGAACCAACACTTTCTCCTCCTCAGAACTGTTCCAAATGATCCTATGTTAAGAGTAAATACTACATCTCATTATAAGACGGAGAGGCAGGGAGGACACCATCTGGAGCTCATCTCCCAAAGTCTGGGACTCTAAGAACCAGATAGTAGCAAAGACATAAGCCCCAGTCCATGGACAGGCAAAATGGGGAGGAAATGGGCCTTGAGAGAGAAAGGTGATGAAAATACAAGGGGCCAGGGTGTAAAGGGGCCAGGGTGCTAAAACTAGAAGCACACTAGTGCTAGGAACTCTCCCATGATCCGTGGTGCACTGCTGCACACTAAGTCACTATTAGTCCAAAAGAACATTCATGAGATCCATCCAATCAAGAATTCGAGATCCACTCCCTTATATCATGTCCCTTTCTTAATCACACAGGTTCCCACTATAAAGCCCTGTAGTGAGCAATACTCCTCAACTCCCCATTACTTCTTCAACTATCCTCATCAACAGTGCTTATTAAAGATATGAACTAACTTCACATTTCCTAAAATATTCCAGGGGAGACATCTTGGCAAGAAATTCACTTGTTTCCTAACTTGGAGAGGCAATGATGAAGGAATACGGGAAGCTGGAGATGTCTTGGCATATTGACCTTTGCCTTAATGAGATTATCAAGGAGCTTACTGGCAAGAGTATGCCCTTTATTTCTCCCTACCCTCTAGGGCTGAGCCACAGATACAGATATTGCTGCACCTTCATTGCTAGCACCTTTTGGAGCAGGGGGAAGGAATGCAGTTTGCTACTTCTCTTCTATGATAAGCTGTTCAGGCACTGCCTTGGATGCAGGAGGCTGAAATAAGAAGAGGAGGGCTCTTTTCTCTTTAGCCTCTCTGAATCCTGTTGCTGGAGGCATGTCCCCAGCCACAGCTCTTGGACCAAATAGCACTGGTGGTGCCGAAGTGGTAGTGGTAGTGGAAGTGGATTTGGAACTCCCAGGCTTGGGTGGGCAGGTCACTGGACAGGAAAGCCATGTTCTAGTTCCAGAAAGACAGGAGGCCCACCCTTACCAGCTGGGCAGGAATGTCTTGGGAGAAGAAGCCCTGCAGGTTGACCTGGTCACCAGAGAGGAGTGGCACTGAGCCCTTCAGGGACAGCTGCTGGTCCCTTTGGGCTGGGCTGCAATTCCAAATGTGGGTGCTCAGGTGCACCTGCCAAAGGGAAAGGGAGTGGAAGAGAGGGGAGGGGAGAAGGGTCACCCCAGGGAAGCTGGGAAGGGTTTCCCTTGGGAATGTGAAAGCTGTAGAGAATCTATTTCCCTCAGGTACAATGAATGGAGAAGAAAAATTCCTCAGGGGGGGTCATCCTCCTGTGAGCATGATTTCCAAGCTGGGGGACTAGAGAAAAACCACTTGGGACATACTATGTAAGAAATTAGAGAAAAAGACAAATGAAGCCTCTTAAATCTTAGAGGTCCTTCTACAGAGCTCTCAGTTTCTGCAAACTAGGTCAAAGGGTAGCAGGTACAAAAAAAAAAAAAAAAAGGCTCATGGGATCGTAGGGTCATCTTTTCTGGGAAAGGGGGAGAGCCCTGGGGAAGTGATGGAGGGAGAACAGCCTGGGACCAAGGAAAGAGCAGCAATATTCTGAGGGCCATGAGGGGCAAAGGGCTGTACCTGGTGGTGAGCCAGCAGCATATGCTTCTTGAGGGTAGCCCGCTCGAGAAAGCCCTGTCTGCAGAAAATACAAGTGAGGAGTGGCCCCTCCTTGGGGTGGGTCTTCTGATGCTCCTCCAGGGCTGCCTGGGTGGGAAAGGTCTGGCCACACACCTCACAGGCCTTTCTGCTGCTGCTCTCTCCTGGCTCCTTTCTCATCACTTCCTGCATGCTCAGCTCCTCCACCAAGGTGGTGCTACTGCCTTCCCCTTCGAGAGCGAGTGCTGCCTTCGGGCTTGAGCTCCTCTCTGGTTTGCCCCCCTCTTCGGTGACTTCTGCAACCTCACTGCCTCCCTGCTCCCTCGGCTGTGTTTGATCCAGGCTGTCTGATGGTGGTGGCGGTGGCAGCGAAGGAGGTTGAATTGCTTTCTCACTGCTGTCCATCTCCTTCCCAGCTGTGGCTGCTGCCACCACCATGCCCACTTCCTCCTCTGCTCCAGATGCCTCTTCAGAATCACCTCGCACTGATATCGCTTTCTCACCTCCACTCTCTGAGCCTCTTCCTGCCAGAGAATCTTCATCAGTCACATCTTCCTCCTCTTCCTCGTCCTCTTCCTCCTCTTCAGACAACTCCTCTTCTGGGGATGGTTGCTGAGATGGTTGCTGGGGGAAGCTCCCTGCCCCAGAGACTGTAGATTGCTCAGAGCCATTCTCTTGGGCAGCTCCCCCACCTTCAGGGAGCGGGTTGCTACCATTGGGGATTTGGCCCCCCAGGTGCATCCGAACATGCTGCTGCAGAGAAACTGCATTGGTGAACTTCTTCTGGCAGATGGGGCAGGAATTCTGGGCCCGAGCAGCTGGGCTGGCCTTGTGGCCCACGAAATGTGCACGCAGATTGCCCCGGGTGGAAAAAGCTCTGCCACACACTTTGCATTTGAAGGGCCGCTCACCTCCATGTTGACCATAATGCAGGCGCAGTGCTCGAGGACAGCTCAGCACCCGGAGGCAGATGACGCACTGGTTAGGTCCGGATGAAGCTGAAGATGAAGCTGCAGGGGCAGAGGTGGTGGCGGCTCCTGAGGCGGTGGAGGCCACTGCTACGGCTCCCTGTCGGTCAATCTTTTCTACCAGTTGCTGCAGCTTCGATGTCTCAGAGGGTGAGGCCCCCAAGGGCTCGAGCACATAGGGGAAGGGGAAGCTCCCCGTGGACTTAAAGTGGTTGGTAAGCAGTGCCCAGCTGGGAAGTGAAGTCACCAACTTACTTAGCTGCATGCGAGTTGCTGTGCCACTTTCTGTCACCCCTGCAATGGCGGAGGCCTCAGTCCCTGGAGGAGTATTCTCATCAGCTTTACTCTTTGGCTCTACCGCTTTCATGAGCACAAACTTATTGAAAGCGGGGAGTGCAGGAGCCGCAGCTGTGCCTGCTCCGGTGGAGAGCAGCGTCAGGCTCTCCGTGGCACTGAGTGCTGTGGTAGAGGCCACCAGAGGCTTGCGTTCCACACCTCCACCTGGCAGGGCTGCCTCCTCCTCAGCCTTCTCTGGTGGCACAGACATACCGTAGGGCAGGCCGCTGCTGGTGATGACGTAGTCTAGGTGCTCTGGCACTGGGTGAGGGTTCATCTGCACGTGCGGGTACTTCTCACGATGCCGGTGAAAATGCACTTTGAGGTTGCCCCGGGTGGTAAAGCGGTTGCCACAGACATTACACTTATAGGGCCTCTCACCTGTGTGTGAGCGCAGGTGGATCTGCAGGGCGCTGTCACTGCCAAATACTTTGGCACAAAAGCGGCATTTGTGCCGTCCACCAGGCTTCTCCAAGGGACCCATCACTTCCCCATAGCCCAGCTCACCACTTCCGTTCTTTGGCTTCAGGAGCCCTGGGGAGGCGGTGGCCTCCAGGCCTCGGGCTGCCCCAAGACACTGTGCTGCCAGTAATCCCGTGGTGCCTGGGAATGCCAGATGAGGCGAGGCAATCAGCTGATCTGTGCTGCCTGGCAGGGCTGGGGAGGGGGCAGGTGGGGGTTTGTGGCTTCGCCCAACCCCTCCAGCAGAAAAAGGGTGCTGTGACCCCAGCGGATGGTAAAGGTGGAAGAAAGCCTGTTTGGGCGTTTCTGCCCCTGAGGAGGAGGAGGTGGAGGAGGAAGATGCCAGTGTCTTGCTAGTTTGGACAGGCTTGATGGGGCTGAAGAGTGGAAGCAGGGGCTTGGTGGAGGTGGCAGTCCCTGTCCCAGGTAACTCTGAGGGACTGCCAGGGGCGCCCACCGTCTGGCCTAGGGAGCCGAGCAGGAGTACCTGCCTGCAGATCTGCTCGGTCATCTGCATCTGGTGGATCTGGCGCTGCTGCAGCACTCGCAGCTCCTCCAGGATCAGAGGGATGTTCAAGTGGCCACTGCCCACGCCTGGGGGCTGCGGTGGGGGCGGTGGAGGTGGAGGAGGTGGCACAGGGGTGGACTCTGGAGGTAATGGGGTTGCTCCCAGCTTGGGACTGGCCAGGATCAGGCCTCCTCCTCCCCCGGCTGCTGTACCTGTGCCAGCGACTAGGAAATGCCCTGCAGACTCCTCTCCTCTCCTCTCTGCCCCCCAGGTGGGATCTGTGGGCACAGAGGACCCAGGATCCGGGGGGTTGCTGTGCTCCACCTCCATGACCTGGGGACTATTGTGGCCCTCAGGCCGGGGTTCAGAAGAGTTGTTGGGGTTCTCCTGGCCTCCGATGATCACCATTACAGGGGGTTCAGTAGAACATGCATTCTGGTGAGCGAGGAATTCAGTCGGGTTAGTGAATTGTGCGCAGCACTTGGCACAGACTTGGGGGTGGTCCTCCTCGCTAGCATCACCTGGGAAGAAGAGGAGAAAGCGTGGGTGGTGCGGTCGGAATGGCTATCCGGAGGTTCTAATTAACTACGAGCCCAGTAACTGCTGGTTGGGGGAGGGGAGATGAGCTCACCATCAGGCCAGGCAGAAGGCTAGAGCTCAGTCCTGACCCTCCTGGACGCGAGAACCCCAGCAGGGGGTGGGGTGGGGGAACACGCAAGCTAGTGCCCTGCCGGGTCCCCCCCACCCACCACCACCAACCCCGGGCCGCCAGCGGGCCCATGGAATAGGTGTGGGACACGGACGAGCGTCTATGCAGATAAACGTGCATTTGATCCCGTCCACCGAAAGTCCTCCCCTCCCCCCCACGTGTCCCCTCCGCCCCCACCCGTGCCCAGTCCGGACCCTACCGCACCTCCGGGCTCCGCCGGCTCCCCGCAGGGCCCCCTGAGAAGGGAGCTTCTCCCGGCTTCGTGCGCCATGGTTGTGGGGGAGGTGGAGGGCTGGGTGGAGTGGGAGACAATGGGGATGGGGATTGGGGGAGGTGGCGGTGGCCACTGGGGCTGCGGCAGCCTCTGCACCCAGCGGCCCAGACTGCAGAGATGGAGATCGGAGGCGGCGGCGGGGGCAGGGAGGAGGGGGAGGGGAGCGGGGCGGTGCGGAGGTGGGAGGAGCAGAAGCCAGAAAGCTGGGAGAGGGGAGATGGGGGTGGGGCTGCTGGCGAGGAGAGTTAGTGAGGGGGAACTGCTGGGGAGGGCGGCGGGAGCTGGAAGAGGAGCGAGCTGGGGCGGAGGTGGGTGTGCGGGGGCGGGAACCTGGAGCTTAGGAGGGTTTCCGGAGGCTCAGTGACAGGTGCTGTGGGTCACGGTGGGGGTTCACCTTTCCTTGCCCTCTGCCAGCTCACCCCATCCCCAGATGCCTTTGCCCAGGCCTGTCCCCTCCCCCCAGCAAGCTCAAGGGGGCACAGTGGGAAACACAACCCTGTTCAACAGAGCAAAGCGATAGGCTTCTCCTGTTTTTCTTTGCATAAAAGATCCGCTGAGCCTGGAAATCGTAGACTCCAGAGAGGGTGGTCTGATCGCCTCAGAGGAGGCCCAGGAGCCAGAGCGCAGGGGGAACCCAAAACATTCATCCATCAACACACCCCCCAAAACACCCCAAGGTTGATCCTGTCTTCCTCACCTCAATTACCACCCTCCCTCACCTCCCTCCACAAAAGAAGTTTCTCAGGGTGGGAGGCTGCAAGGTAGAATTTCCAAGAAAGGTATTTCAGGACTCCTCTTTTCCAACCACCCTGCCCCGCCTCCTCCGGAATAATAGCTGAGTGCAAGTTACTCCACAGATCAGCTGCTCCACACGTAAATTACAAAGCTCATGCTTATTTAAGGAGCCATCTCCTAAATGAGCCATCTTCTCTGCTCTTCCTTCATTGTCCTCTTGCAACACACTGCCACTATTAAGGACGGGAGGGCTTGGGGAGATGCTGGCCCACCTAGCTCTAACTTTGGGGGAGGGGAGCTCGTCCTGAAACAATGGGAAAAATGCAGCTGGGGCTGCCTGGCAGCCTCTGGATTTAAAGCCCCTTTCAGCTTCAACCTGGTTTGAATGCCTAGAAATTGCTCGGGGCAACAGGCCTCCTAGCCTCCTATTCTGAGAGAGGTATGCAGGGATAAGATGCCTCCCAGATCGGGTACTCTTCATTCTCTTCCTACCTTGAAATGGATTTCCCACTTCCTAAAAGAATTTATCTCACTAACAGGAGGTGACCACAAGTTCTTAGTTTTGTGGTTTGCCTGAGCAACAGTAAACCCATGTTGTTCTAGTCCCAGTTCTATTCTTGCCTGACTGGTAAGTTGAGGCACGGTGGTCAGTCATACCACACTATGCCACTATTTCCCTTTCTGAAAAGTGGGAATATTGTAGCTGTGCTATCTTCCTCAGAGAAGTATTGTGGGGACAAAAACTTGAGAAGCTCTTAGTATGTACATATGGAACTTTAAATTTTCGGGGGAGTGCCAGATATTATGGATTAGAGAATTTACATTGTCAGTGGCAAAACAAAATAAACTGAAATACACTAAAATTTGTGTATATTAAAATTTGACATTTTTCTTATTAATCTTAGTAATTTCTGAAATAAAATGTTGGCTAATATCATTGGCATATGTCAAGGGTAGGGAATCTTTTTTGGAAGGAGCTGAAACAACCTAATAGTAGTAACATCATTTAACCTTTGAACAAAATTTTGCTATCTTTTATTTTTTAATATATTTTTATTGACTTCAGAGAGGAGAGAGAGATAGAAACGTCAATGACGAGAGCATCATTGATTGGCTGCCTCCTGCACTCCCCCCACTGGGGATCGAGCCCACAACCTGGGCATGTGCCACAACAGGGAATGGAACCATGACCTCCTGATTCATCAGTAGACAATCAACCCAATCACTGGGCCACACCGACGGGGTGAAATTTTGCTATCTTTTTTCACTGAAAACATTTTACTGAGTTATGTCTTGAAACTTCAGATAATTCATAAGAATCATAACATAGTAAATGATGGCTCTGTAACAGATGAGCTAAGTGCTTCCAGGGCTGACCCTTACAATGAGGAAATGGGAGGGTCTGTTGCAATTTGGCAAGTCACAGGTTAGTGCAATGTTACTTTTACACATCAGGACATTTAAGCTTGGAGGGATTAAGTGACTTTTCCAAGTCCACACAGTAAATCAGTGAAGGAAGCATTCAGAATTTTGACTCCTGTCCAGTGCTTTCTGAAGCACATCAACATTGTGTGGCTTCCCTAATGCTAAAGAAAGGGCCCTGTGTGGCACCTACCTGCCATTTGCTCTCTAGCCTCGGGAAGGGCAGGGAATCAGATGGAAGCTTTCTACTGAGCATTTGTTAATTAGCATTGAACATTTGATATCAAGTTGCTGTTTTGTCAAGTCTTCCTACAAGAAAAGAAATCCTTTTCTTTTCATCTTCTCCTGGGAAACACTGTCCCCTTTCTTGGGTTTAATGAAACTTGCTTTCTGATGCGTAATTTGACCTGCACTCTTCTTTAAGGTAAATTTAGTCCCTGGTGAAAGGTGACAGATCAACAGCCACCTGTAAGAGGAACCCTCTACTTCTCAGCACTTTGCACTCACTGCCTGTCTTGAAAAGGGGGGCATGATTTTTAGGCAGACACAAATGAAGTCATAAACACTGGCTGGAATAAACTAAGCTGGTAATGGTGTAGTAGATAGCAGATAAGGTGAGGTAAGCTATTCTGGGTCACATGCAAAATCTGGGATGGATGAAGGCCTAAGACCTGGACATGGTTGTTTAAATTTATAAAGAGCTTAAATGATGAGGAAAAGGGAAAACCAGGTGACTCTCTAAACCAGGTGGGCCATCCAACGGCTGCTTTAGGCTAGGGAGAGAAAGGCAGGGGAGAACAAAGAGGAAAACAGGTGGGTAATGTGCAGCAAGGTGGTTTGTTGAACGTGGTTCTCAAACTTTGCTGCCTATTAGAATTACTGGGAGAGCTCTTAAGAATCCCGATGGTCAGGCCACACCTCAGACCAAGCAATTCAGAATCCTTGAGGGTGGAATCCAGGCATCAATATGTTTGCAAAGTTCCTCAGGTGATTTTACTGTCCACACAAGGATGAGAACCACAGTACCTATCAGAGTACTGCCCTTCCCATCAACCCTTCTACTTTGCTCCTCACAAATCTTATCTGTGCCCAATCTGGCCAAAATGTGGACATAGGCAAAATGAGCTGCTCACTGCTAAATCTTCCTGACAGGCACCCTCTCTATTCTGCCCACAGCCAGACGTTAGTTATCATGCATTCTACTTCCGTGAAGAAAACTTGATGATTTAAACCTGACTGAATTTAGCCACCGTATTGCCTTTCCCAATGTGCCTCTTGAACCACATTTCTAATTGTAAGATGAAAGGCTTTGTTCTACAAAGAGTTTGAGAATTTTCCAGCCATTAAGGAAACAAAACACCTGCCTACTTACTATAAACATTGGACCAACACTAATTAGCAGGGTCCATAATTATGAAGTGATTCTGTAACTGCTGCTATAGACTATTTCTAAGGCATAATGTCCCATCTTCTCTTCCTCACTCTTCTCTCCTAAATATACACAGATAATCCTTTGTCACCCACACCTACTAACGCACCCAGGGCCTGTGCAACACGGTGGATAATTATGCAAGCACAATGCTTTGTATATCTGGTGCGAAGTGAGAAAAATATGTTTGTTTCCAGAATAGGAATATCTTAGGTCAAACATAAAAAAGTATTTTAAATGGATATTTTTCTGACATCAAAAGACTCAGAATTCATAGCACTTGGGAGCTGAAAGGGAATTGAGAGATCTGACCCCTTCTTTGAACTCAGTCATTGAGAGTCCCAGCTCAGAATCTAACAGACCTGAGTTAAAGTCTCAGTTCCAGCACTTTGTAATGTTTGTGACCTTGGGAAATGTTCTTAATCTATCTCAGGCTTGGGGTTCTCTTCTTTAAGATGGAGGTACAGCCATAAAAAGGAATGAAATTCTGACACATGCTACAAAATGGTTGAGCCTTGAAAACATGTTAAATGAATTAGACCAGACACAAAAGGACAAATATTATATGCTTCCATTATATGAGGTACCTGGAATTGGTAAATTCATAGAGACTGAGAGTAGAATAGTGGTTGCCAGGGAAGGGGGGGGGGGGGTTTGCGCAGGGGGAGGGAAAAAGAGGGAAAGGGGGCATTAGTGTTTAATGAATATAGTATTTTACCACACACAAGAATTTTTTAATGGAGGTAATAATAGTGTAGTTGGGAGGAATAAACAAAAAATACATTCAGGATTTAGCATAGTGCCTGACAAATAGTAAATGTTCCACAAATATTATTGATGAGTGTCATTAATTACAGGCCAAAAGGTGAAGCCCTGGGAGCAGGGACTTGCCCCAGGTCACATAGCTTCAAAGTCCAGGCTGGACTGAAAACCAGGCTTTCTGCTTCCTTCTCCAGTCTCTGCCACATCATGCCTGAGTTACTTCTATCCACTCAGAAATGCTCTCTTTTTGACCCAGGGGTACCTAGGGCTGAAAGGCTTAGGGCTTAGCCTGAGGGACGATGCTTTCTGCTTCCAGATATAAAGAGAACAGAGCCCTTAAAACTCTAATTTTGCTTTCTTCCCCTTTTGCTGCTCTTGATGTCAGCCAGCTTCCATTTCTCCCTCTAGATCTGTTTGGCTGTTGTCCTGGTTTCTCCTTCTCACTAAATATCTGGGTTTCTGGTTGTTTCCTTTATTTCCCAGATGTACTAGTTTACATTTTCCCTAGTCACGTCCCTTATGTTCTCTCATCCAGATTTCTAGACTCTGTAGGGGAGAGATTTTTTTTCTCTCTCCAGAGTTTTAAAGTAAATAGACTATTTCCTTCTCATCACTTATGTGCAATAACTATTCTGTTAGGTTTGGGTGTTCTGGTCAAAGAAGCTGAACAAAAACATGGCTGGATAACAGGTTTTACAGACTGTTTCTTGGTGATGTCTTAGGTCGCTACAGAGATGCGGCTTTTAAAATGTGCAACAAAGGCTCAGCATCTGCTTGTCACAAAGAGTCAACATTGCTTGAAAGAAGGCAAAGACTCCAGAAAACCTCCTTGGCACCCTAGCCTACTAAATACATGTCTGCTGATGCTCATGATAACGACCATAGTTTCACAGGTACAGCAAGGGACACACATAAGAGCCCCCAAATAAGAAACTTCCCTACCTGCCCCAGCCAGTTTGGCTCAGTGAATAGAGCGTTGGCATGCGGACTGAAGGGTTCCAGGTTAGATTCCGATCAAGGGCCCAGGTTGTGGGCTTGATTCCCAGTAGGGGGGTATAGGAGGCAGCCAATCAATGATTCTCTCTTACCATTGATGTTTCCATCTCTTTCCCCTTTCCCTTCCTCTCTGAAATCAATAAAAATATATTTTTAAAAAAGAAAGAAAAAGAAACTTCCCTACCTAATTGTTGGGGCATTCAGAACAAGAAAATGTCTCAAAGGTAGAAGAAAAAGTCAGGAGACTGAAGATCACATAAGCAAACAGAAACCCTATCTGTGGAAAAGGAGGAAATGAGAAATCTACATATCTCGTAAGAGCAGGAAGGAATTTTAGATTTCATCAAACAGCTCCCACATCTTAACAGATGAGACCCAGTAACCCTCCAGGTCTTGTAAGTAACCCAGGATCTTTCGCTTTCAGGAGAATGCTGATCAAAAAACCCTTATGCTTTTCTTAAGGCAGATCTTAGGAGGTAACTACGGTTACTACTACTTTGCCGCTCTTTGCATTTATGTTTCTCATTTTCATGGCTCAAGGCAATATTTCAACTGAAATTTGTTGCTGACCTTGGGTTGAAGTCTACACTGTTTCCATGGGGATGGCTTTGGAGCAGCATCTTTATGCCCCCCAGGATTCACAGCCCCAAGTGGGAGCTACAGCTCAAGGAGCTTGAGAAGCCACTCAGGGCAGTTGCTGAAGGTTCCTCCGGGTCCCTCACAGATTTTTTGCTCAGCTGTGGAATGAGAATGGGTGAGCAGACTTGGGAAAAGAGAAAGGAAGCCTCCTGGGCTGGGGGAGATTAAGCACTGTTCCAACATCAAGCCAGCAGGGGAGCGGGACTGTGAGGCAATTCTGAGGGTCTGAGGGAAGTTTCCTGTAGCGCAGGAGGAGGAAACATCCGGCCTGCAGAGGCATTAAGAAGGGCTAATGTGTCCCAGGAGGGAACAGATGTCACCACCATGAGCCTCTAAATATGGGCACAGTGGGATCCCAGCAAAGCAGTGACTCTGAGGAGGAGGTGTTCTACCCGCAGCACAGTATGTCTGTTAAGGTCGAGCCATCACACCTGGAGCACCGATGTGACTGGCCTCCAGTCATGTTTTTACAACAGGTGGAAAACCAAATGCATGGGTTAGTTTTGGTCACTTCAAATACATTCTCCTAGAGCTTTTCATGGCACCCCTCTCATAAAGAAATGTTGAAATCTGCCAAGAGATTCCTGAGTTTTGGTCATATTTCAGCACTTTGGGATTGCCACTGTCCTAACGTATAATGATAATAACAATACTCGCGTGCATTAAGTACTTATTTATGCTAGTAATTTTTCCAAGTGCTGTACATTCATATATTAACTCATTCCGATTCTCCCAATAACCTAATGAGGTAGCTAGTATAGTCACCCCTATTTTACTGATGAGGAAACTGAGGCACAGGGAGGTAAAGTAAACAACTAAGATTGCTCAGCTAACCAAGTAGTGGAGCCAGGATTTGAATCCTAAGAGTCTGGCTTCAGAACCCTTGTGCCTAATCCTACCCTACATTGTTGGGTGAATTAACTATTTGCTAAACAAATAGTTTATCCCTGAGTCATGACTGTCACAGTGAGAACACATATAGCCATACCACTGACCAGTATGTCCAACCCTTGCTTGATCCTAAGACATTTGCAAAGATATAGATGCCCGGACTCTAGCCTAGACCTACCCATCAAGCAAGTTTGGAAACCCTGATTTAGTGGAGTGAGCACCACCAGCCCTGAGCCTCAGGAAGCCTGGGTTTTCATCCTGACTATGCCTCTGTTTCTGAGACTTTGGACAATATTACTTCTCAGTACCCTATTGCTCTATTGTCTGCCTATTCCTGGAATGCTATAAGAAATCTACCCCAACACCCATAAAGAAATTCTATCACTTAAAAAAACAGATGATAATATCCTTACAAAATGATATGCATGTACGTATTAACGCATACTTGTTTTTTTTTTTTTTTTTTAGCTTGGCCTACCTTGAAGCCCAAACCTAAGCACCTCATCCAGACCTCCCCTCCAGCCTCTATCCCAGGTGACACGGATACACATCCCAAACCAGGCTTCATCTGACCGACATTAGCTATCTCCCTCTGGGAGCTCTGATCCGCTCTCTGCTCAGCCCAACAATGAGAAACTTTTTTCTCTTCTCCCTCAGGGGAATCTCCGCATTTATCCAATTCATTCTCTTGCAACCCAACTCTCCAGAAAGAAAAGGGGGGGAAAATCCCACCCCTAAGAGACAGTCTTCAGGTCTGAGGATGTTACTTAGCAACGGCACAAAGACCAGTGAGCAAAGGGGGACCTGGGGAGAAAACTCTTGGGTGGGGAGACAGAGCCAGTTTGAAAACTCCATTTCATCCAGAGAAAAACAACAAGGAAAACACAAACAGAATCATTCCTGAGAAAAGCCAAGTGGGGCTTCTCCCCACCACAGGTCATCTCCTTGGTCCCTGTATCTCAACTCCTTCAGTCCGCCCCTCCTGCCCCCTCCAGTCCTCTCCCCTGTGACTATGTCCTCCCCCTGGTTTAGCCCATGGCCCGGGGGCCCTCCCCTTGCCCTGGCCTGACCCACACAGGCTTGCACTCAGAGCTCCCCCCTCCTCCCTCCCCAGGCACCCACCGTTGTCAGACGCGCTGGGACCTTCGCAGTCCGAGATTAACTGTTGGGGTTTCCGCTGCTTTCGCCTAGACATTCCCGGGTAGAGAGAGGTGGGAGAAGGAGGGGTGACGCTCACTTAGTCTTAACCAGGGTGACCTGGTCTGGTCTCTCCCTTGGGTCTGAAGCCAACTGATGCCTCTCCCTCAGTCAAATCACTGTGAAGCAGAGATGTTCTCTCTTCCCAGAGATAGACAAACTCTCTCTCTCTCTCTCTGATTCACTGTCCCTGACTCTCTCTCTCTCTCTTTCTCTCTCTGATTCTCTGTCCCTGACTCTCTCTCTCTCTCTTTCTCTCTCAATCTCTGCAAGTCTTTAAAGGGGAGACGCCCCCTTTTTTTCCCTTCAGCTTCTTCCCTACGCTTCTGCAGCTCCCATTGTAAAAGCAAAAATCCTAATCTTTCCGCACACTCTTTTCTTTTGTGCTGCAGAGGAAAGGATTTAACCCTCTCCTCCCTGCTGGGGCCCTGGGCCTCTCCCCGTGCGGTCTGTTCATAAAATACCCACCACTTGTTTTCCTAACTCTTCTTCTAAGATATTCACAGTGCTTTTGATCCTTTCATGATTCTATACCACCTTGTTTGATGATGTGACTGCTTCTGGGCTATAGTTTGAAATAAGAACTTTCTGGTATATTCTTATAATGAGGCCAAGAAGTCAGCTATCTCTAGTTGAAAATGAGTGTACAAAAACTTGGCAAAAAAAAAAAAAAAAGAGTAAAGATGAACAGTCAGATAAAAACTTCATGTATGTAGAGCTCTTTATAATTTATAGAATATTCTCATGTACATGCCATTTTTTAAAAATATTACAACTCAGACATTAGCATGGCATGTTTTACCACTCCCATTTATGATGATCCTATTTATAGATGAACCAAAAGGCTCAGTGAGGTTAAGTAACCTATCCAAGATTGCACAGCTATGATGTAGCAGAGATGGGCCTGGAAGCCAGGTGCACCTGACAGTCAGGCTAGCATTCACCGCTCCCCCACTCCCGTAATATTGTTAAAGGTACGCTATGTCAACAGACTCTTGGCATGAAAAGAAAAGGGTTTGATGCCCAGCCATGGAGTTCAGCAGTTAAGCATCGGGCCAGGAACCAAGAGGCCACTGGTTCGATTCCTGGTCAGGGCAGTCAGGGCACATGCCTGGGTTCCGGGCTTGATCCCCTGTGCGGGGGAGGGGTGTGCAGGAGGCAGCCAATTGATGATGTTCCTCTGTCATCTCTCTATCCCTCTCCCTTCCACTCTCTCTCTAAAAACAAAAACAAAAACAAAAACAAAACCAATGGAATATATTTTTTAAAAAGCGATAGATTTTAAGGAATCTCATTTAAAATAACAACCAGAGTCAGTAGCTTTTCTGTCTCTCCCGTTCCTTGTCCTAGGGTTGAGGGGAAGCTCCCTCTGAGAAGATGATGTAGATGGGTGGAAGCAATGAGGGGGTACTTTGAGCTCAATATAGAAGGAAATTTCTAACAGTGTCACAGATTATCCAGTGAATTTGTGAGCTTCCTGTAATCAGTTCTCACAGTGCTCACTTCAGCAGCACATATACTAAAACTGGAATGATACAGAGAAGATTAGCATGGCCCCTGTGCAAGGATGATGTGAAAATTCTTGAAGGGTTCCATATTTAAAAAAATAATAATACGTTCTCACAGAGGCTGAAAACAATTGTCAAGGATTCTATGGGAAGAATGTCCTTTTGGATATGAAGTTTGACCTTTAAGAACATCCTCCATCTCTAAAATACATCACTTGGTCACTAACCAGGTCTCTTCTGCTCAGCTGGTACACTTAAAGGTGATTTGTTGTTGTTATTCTTTAACTTGTGGCCATGCTATTCCTACCTGAATGTGAGTAATACTGTGCTATTGGGCACAGCATGTCCAGATATGCCCTACGTTCTAGCTACAAGGTCTAGGTCTTTTTCTTTCGACCTTATTTACCCTTTGCTCTCTGGCTGAGATGAGGAGCATCTGAAACACCACGATCACTTAGCAAAGTGGGAATTACTTTTCTCTTTGAAGTTTAATGATGTAAATCTCTGATGGCTACATCTTCAGAGAAAAGCACAGCATAGCTCACTCACAGTGTTGGGTGCAAACTTGAGGTTTCTTTCATTTCTTTCCTTACACAAGTCCAGGCTAGTCTGGCAATACAAAAAAGGGAGACAGAGAGACAACAGATGGTAGGAGGATTGCTGTTGATAAATGGAGCAGGTACCCACATATGAAGCGATTTGGGAAGCACTCTGATCTTTGCTTTGGAGTTCACTGACTCTCCATTATTTTCTCAGTCCTTTGGGGTCAGGACCCTGGGTGCCTCCCTCACATTCCACCCTTGGACCTCTTGCCGACATTGTCGTTTTCATCCAGCTAACTCCCCTGTGGTAAGCAGGTGCAGTTATGATGAGGCTGTAATTGTAGGAAAAATGGGAACACTGAGGCCAGGCAAGCTTCTAATTTCTCAGTGGAATTAACTGTCACTCTCTCATCCCACTTTTTCTATCATTTACTTCCCTTTTGAGAAATAGAAAGGAGAGAAGAAATATCGCTTTCTGTTTTTGTCAGGAGTCTATGAAATCTTCAAGGGTAGATTTGATAGTTCAATATTGGTCCCTTTCCTGGGTCTGGTCTGACTTGTCTTTTCTTATTTTTTTTTCCACCCTCTTTGCTGGCCTTATTGTGAAAGGAAGGGCCCTCTCCCTTCCTCTCCTTTCTTCTGCCCTCCCCCATTTACCATTTTTTTCCTTTTACCTCTTTCCACTGTGGCCTTTTGACCTCTCCACAGAGTTACAAAAGTAAAATCCTTGAAGAGATGCTGCTGTGGGAATGTTAATGAGCCTTCCCCACAAAGGGGCAAAGACTTTACTTCACTGAGTTGGAAAAAAGCCCCTTTGAAAAGGGGTTTCTGTGTGTGGTGAAGTGGAGAGGGGAGGGGAAGGAGAGAGGGAGGGTGAGGGAGAAAAGAAGGGAGGGAGAGAAAGAGGAGAGAATGAAAGAGGTAGAGGGAGGAAGGAAGGAAGGGAGGTAGACAGAGAGAGACACACACAAAGAGAGAGACAGAGAGAGAAACTTAATAGCAGAAGAGAATATTAAAGCAACACTCTACTTGTTTCAACTGGTGATTTAATTTTTGGAAAATGTTCCATGGTCTTTCGACCTTGTAAATGAACACTTTCATTCTTAAGAAGGTGAAGAGGCACTCAAGGGCATTGAAGGTGAAGAGGCACTCAAAGGATAAGAAAAAGGGACCTATCCTAGCACCCTACCCCCAGTTCCTTCCCACATGTGGGAACCTGAGAGGGTCTAGGCCAGGGGTGGGCAACCTTTTTGTGAGTGCGTGCCAAAACCAGCAAAATCTCTGACTCAAAATTCTTCTGCGTGCCAACCCTAATCTTTTGAGAACATGTTACGCCTACTTGATATCTCTTAAGGTGTATGTATGTGAAGAACCTTGAAGAAATAATAAAATCCATTCGAGCGACAAAAACACAGTATATGATGATGAAAAATACATTTATTTTTTAATGTATACATGTACACTGATAGTCCGACAGAAAACTTTATGACTCCGTTTGGTATTATCAGTGGGACTTTTGCTGCTGCATCACTGATGGCAGAGATTTTACACCAGGTTTATATTTCGTGACCTTCAGAGATATGCACGAGCTACTACTTTCATCTGTCAGGCTACTCCTATTATGAGACTTAGCAAAATTCATCACTGAGAACAAAGATTCACAAGCGTATGTGAATGAAAACATGGAGAGTAATAATGTTGCAAAGTTTTTTAAACAGAAAAAATTTTCTGGAATGGCATTCCAAGTCCTCAATAGTTCATTTTCGACACTTCTCTCGGGTACTCCTGTCTCTAATCGCTTTTTTTCAATGTTTTCCAAGTCAACTCTAAGGTCAATAAATTTCTGCTTCCAAATTGAGCTACTTTGAAATTCAATCAACTGCATTTCAAAGTCAGCCATGTGTATGGTCTTTAAGATAACTTGTTATGTAAAATTATTTATTTATCTAAGATGCACCTACACTGAATTTATCTGAAAAATAAAAAAGTCGATATTAAGAAAAAAATTGTAAATGGAAGATTATAAGAGAGGGTTTCACGTGCCAGCAAAAGTTACTGGCGTGCCATGTTTGGCACGCGTGCCAGGGGTTGCCCACCCCTGCTCTAGGGAAAATATTCTGGGTGGGGGGAGCTGGTGGGAAAGATGAGCGCTTTCTTCTGGCTCTGTGGTTCCTTCTTATGTTTTCTAATTTTATCAACAATTTTTATCTTGGCTTCCATATTGGCTATTGGCCTAATAATTTTTTTCTTTCTTCAGGAATGGCTTAAAGTACTGTTGTGATGTTTACATCTTGGAGCCAATTTTCAAGCCAGACCACTTACACATAATCTCTGTATCCTTCATTAGTGAGTACAATTTGCCTCTAAATTAGTTAAAATGGATGTTAGGGTATTTCCAATGTCAAGATTAAGTCTTTAGAAAAGCAAAGATATGTTGTTGCTCTTTAAAAGAAAGCCAGTCACTATGTTTGACTTTTAGAGAGTTTCCTGCACATTGTTTTGTGATGTCAGCACAACACTCCAATTAAAGAAGCCTAGAATTGTGAGGAACAAAGAGAAGGTGATTGGAATGAGACCCTTGGAAGAGAGAAATGAGGAGCAGGTCTGGAATGCTAATTCTCAGAGCTCTACACACTCCTCTGGATTCACGGTAAACACATGGAGAATTTATCACACTCCTGGCCTCTACCCCAAATCTATTTAATCAGAGTCTCTGGGGTGGGCCACTAAGATTTTTAAACAAGCTCTCAAATGATTCTTTTGCAGAGTTAAGTTTGAGGCAGTTGCACTTGACTGGTGGTTTCTAAACCATGGGCTCTAGATTCCTTGGGGACTGCAGTGCGGTTACAAGGAAATCCAAGTACACGTAAAAAGGCCTGGTAAAAGATCCAAATATATAACATGTCCTTCAAATGTATATATTATTCTTGGCCAAATGTTTGTTGATGTGCAAATTAATACAGTGTTAACTCATTTAAAGAGCTTCATAATGGCTTTGCCCTCAAAATACAACTATAGTTGTGTGGGGGTCCAGGAATTTTTTGGCATTTCATTCAGGCCTCTTCTCTCAGGACAATACTCTGCTCTTAGAATTCCTCTTTTACTAGTTTGTATAGAAATTTTAATTGCAAAAGAGCTAAACTAAGGATCTAGCATGTAAACTTGATGTAACCATAATCACAGCCCTTTAAATACATAATCTCATTTACTCCTTAAAATAACTTTGCCAAGGAAGCATTATACAATCCCCAACTTAGACATGCAGAACACCCCATTTTACAAATGAGGAAACTGAGATTAGAGAAGCATAGTAGCTTTCTTGCTCAAAGTCTCAGAGCTGATAAATGGCTGGTTGAAATTTGCCCAAGCAATGCCTATTTGGGCAGCCCGTGTTTTTTTCTCTCTCACTACAATGTGGCACTTTATTGCCATTCTGCTGATTTCTGCTTCTGTTATAGGCCTGTTTTCTGGCCACAGACCTGGAGAATGGCACAAACATTCAACTTCCATAGAAAATTTGAAGACCTTCAATTAATATTGACAACAAATTATGCTTCTTTTAATTCCATATACTGTCATATGTTTTTTTTTTTTTTTGCCTTACTAGCATTAAGGAAGCAAGGCAACCAAGAGTAAGGAGGAAAAAGTGCCCTTTGCAGCACTTCACTAAGTAAGAAAGCACCGGCAAACAATCCCTGGTCTTATTAGATGATTTCTCAGCCTGGCCTCTTTCAGGTGGCAGTTGCCATGGTGTTTTAGAGGCAGAGGCAGGGAGTGAAGATCAAGGAGTGTCATTCAGATTGATTCTTGTCTGGTGTTTCTTTTCAGAGTTCATTCTGAAAGGATGGCCGGAATTTAAACACCCATAAGAGGATGGGTAGAACTTACTCTTTTTGCTTACCTTCATTTCTCCATATTACTCATGTTAAATAAAGGGAAACAGAATTTGTGAAGAGGACAAGAGAGTGGAAAAGGAAAGGGAGGTTGTAAGCTAAGAGGGCCCTGAGCCTGTTGGGCAGTGGGAGAAGGCTAGAGTGGGGGCGGGGAGGAGTGTGTGTGTGTGTGTGTGTGTGTGTGTGTGTGTGTGTGTTTTCAAGGAAAACATTATAGGAACAATGTGTTAAAGTTCTGGGGATCCTGAAGTTGGTCATTTGAAAGAAAATCAATAAATCAACAAAGAATGGGGAATTAGGGACAAATAGCAAGGGTGAGGGAGCATGATGAGAAAGGCAAAGAAAGAAAGAAAGAAAGAAAGAAAGAAAGAAAGAAAGAAAGAAAGAAAGGAAGGAAGGAAGGAAGGAAGGAAGGAAGGAAGGAAGGAAGGAAGGAAGGAAGGAAGGAAGAAAGACCAAGCCATGAGAAAGGAAAACAAATCAGAATGATGAGAAAGAAAGAGTTAAGTCACAGAGGCAAATCTTTGAGGGAATAGACAGGGGTGGGCAAACTTTTTGACTCGAGGGCCACAATGGGTTCTTAAACTGGACCAGAGGGCCGGAACAAAAGCATGGATGGAGTGTTTGTGTGAACTAATATAAATTCAAAGTAAACATCA